TATTATACTACCAGTTAGCTACTTCATGGGGTTACTGTAAGGAGTAAATGGGGTAATGCATTTAAAGCTCTTGTTTACTATTGATGGGAGATAAGTACTAATAATGGTAATAATAACAATAATAACTGTTATTAAGTACTTCCTATATTTGAAGGTAGTAATTGAACCATCCGCTTGTCTTCTGCTGAGCATTAAAAAACTAAAATTCCCCTTTGAAAACTTTAGAGTTATCTCATTTTATTCCTGGACAATTAGTCTAAGGTTATTTAACAGAGTAGCAGACATCCCTATACACTCAAAAGACTAAGAAACTGGCCGTATTACAGCATTGAAAAAATAACAATGACCTTCAATCATTAAAAGAAAGGCTGCATGATAGTATACTCAAATTTTTCTGAATTTGAGGAAGACTTCATCCAAGATATTTTTTTTTCCTTCTTAAACCAACTCTAAAAGGGAAAATCAGCAATTAATCAAGTCCTGAGAATACAGCAGTGAGAAATAATACATGTATTCATTGCTTTCATGTTACTTATAGTCTGGTGAGAGAGGCAGATATTAATCAAATAGACATAAAAAGAGGGCCTAATAAATAAGTAAGACAAATGCTATAAAGAAATGAAGCATGTTTCTGTATGTGTAAATTCAAAAGAAGACAGACCTCACTAGGCTTCCCTGAGGAAGTGACGCTGAACAGAAACCTAAGGATTGAGTAAGCAATAACCAGGGCCAATGAACTGGGCAGTTAGGCACTGGCAGCAGCTGTAGGAGACAACTGTTCTGCCTGAAGGGGCTTTTAGGGAGAAAGAGCTTCAGACAAAAAGATCAGAAAGAAAGCTCCCGGCCAGGGAGCTGACACCGAGGGAGGAGTACCACTAGATAAAACCAGAGAAAGAAGGAGGCCAATCCCTGCAGTCTCTTACAGGCCTTGCTAATGATGGCCCTTCTTACTTATAGGAAACTTTGAGATTTTAAGCAGATTGTGTAGAATATGATCTGGCTTGTATTTTTCAAAGGTGTCTATGACAGCAGTGTGGGGAATGGACCAGGGAGTTGCTGAAAGAGATCAATTAGGAGACAATTGCAAAAGTCTATGAGAGATGTGCTAGTAACTTGGACTAGGATCTTCATAGTAGAGATGAAAAGAAGGAAACATGTCATAAATATTCATGACGGAACTTAGTGATGGGAAGATAAAGAGCCTGAAGAAGGTGTTAGAATGACTCCTATGTTTCTGACATGAGTAATGAAAAGGATAGTGACCATCTTATTACATGGTAATAAGAGAACACTGTAGCACCCATAATTGGTTGGAAGATTAAGAATTTTACTTTAGACATGTTTTCATATAATTAGAAGATTTCTGATAAGCATAGAATCAAAACAAAAAGATGATGGAGGGTCTTGATGAATGTTTTGTCCAAACTGTGGTCAACATATTTCTTTAGTGATGGCATTTATGTTTGTTAGTTTTAGTACTGGTCTTTCTAGAACAGTGAGAACAAACATTGCCAACTACCTTACAACACAGAGAGTAATAATGGCTCGGGATCTGGTTAAAGATCTTAGACTAAACACATACATTTGAATCTCTTTCCTTCTGAACCCAGTTGAGAGAACAGTGAAATAATTTTTAACAAAACATAAATTCACAAGGACAAAGGGGATGAGATAAGAGACAACAGCAATAAAGCTTTAGAAAATGGGAAGCAGAAAGACAAGTAGTAACTGAATTAAGACAACCAAGAAAGCTAAATCTTTAGCTTGATGATAACCAACCCAACTTACATTATAGAGCCCTAAAAAATTGGAGTATATAGCTGAGTGTGGTGTTGCATGCCTGTAGTCCCAACTTCTTGGGAGGCTGAGGTGGAAGGATCACCTGAGCCTAGAGTTCAAGGCTGCAGGGTTTTTTGATCATACCTATGAAGAGCCATTGCACTTTAGCCTGGGCAACATAGAGAGACCCTGTTTTTTTTTTCTTTTCTTTTCTTTCTTTCTTTCTTTCTTTCTTTTTTCTTTTTTTAAAGAAGCACAGATATCTTAAGAACTAGGAATGAGGGTGGTGCTTAAACAGATTTGGTGAGACCTCTCTGTAAGAAGCTGATAGATACTGAATTCCCTATTCCTATTCTTTTCAGGTGGGATACTGCCTCTTATTTTGGTGACAAGAACAAATACAGGGACTCTGGATTGGGGTTATCAGGAAAGGATGCAGGCTACAATATTGCAGCTGGGGATTAAGTATATATTTATAAATTGTGTACTGCAACTTCGTCAATCTTTTTCCTTCACTTAGCTCCTAGAATATTTTTAGCCAGGCTTATGTTTCCTTAGGAGAAGGCTGGAAATATTGTCTGAGAAATCTTATCAGCCTGAAAGAAAAAATACTGACATTGGCCCAGTACGTTGGCCTGTGTCACATCATCCTGTTGCAAACCCAATGGAGAGTGCCCTCATGCACACAAAACATTCTCTTTTTAATGCTGCATTTTTAAAATAAAACTAGATAGGCAGGAATAACTAGATATTTGAGGAAAGCCTATTAATGAAAGATAGAGACCAAACCAAAACCAACAGAAGAAAACGACTTGAAGGAAACAAGCTCTGCCAACAGAACAATTTAAAAAATAAACTATTTTGTCCTCAAAAACAAGAACATATATAAAATAAAAGGATTATCTATAAAAGAAATATTCAGTGAGGTCAAAAGAAACCTAGATGTTAAAAATGTGACATAAAAATAAGAAATTTCATGTAAGAGATAAAAGATAAAGAACCTCCTAGGAAGTAAAGCAAAAAGACTAATAAGGATAGTTGAGGAGAAAGGGTATATGAAAATTAGAGGATCCGTCACTGTGATTCAATATGTAATAATAGTATTACTGAAAGAAGAGAACAGAGGGTAGGGAATCATTAAAAATTTGTAACATTGAAATCTTACAATCTCAGGTTCAAGAGCCCACCAACTACCAGAATGATGGGTAGAAATTTATGTTCACCTGAGAGTATCATCATAAAATGTTCATTGATATATCCTCAATACCTAGAATAGTGCCTGGCATATGGTAGTCACTCTATAAATTTGTATTGAAGAATTGAAACATTCAGCACAAGAGGGACAAAAAGATGAGACTACAAACTTCCAGAATAAAACAGGTGTAATATAAAAAATGAAGAATCAGAGTGTCATCTGTCTTCTCAAGAGCAATATCTAAATCTAAAAGAGCAGTGCTTTCAAAATTCACAGGAAAAGAGACTTCTATGCCTTGAAAGAGTATTATGTAGAATAAAGGTATTTTCAGATCCATAAGGTATCTTAGTCCATTTTCTATTGTTATTAGTAAATATTACAGACTGAGTAATTTATAAAAAATAGAGGTTTATTTAGCTTATGATTCTGGAGGCTGGGGAATACAAGAGCACAACACTTGTATCTGGTGAGGGCCCTTTTGTTGCATCACAGCATGACAAGAACATCACATAGCAATAGGGCAAAAGCATGTCAGCTTGGGTCGCTCTTCCTCTTTTTATAAAGCCCCCACTCCCATCATGGGGGCTCCATCCTGATAACCTTATCTAACCCTGATTACCACCGAAAGGCCCCACCTCCAAATGCCATCAACATATACATTTGAGGATTAGGTTTCCAACATATGAATTTGAGGGACACAGTCAAATCATAGCACAAAGCCTCAAAACATTTTCTTCCTTTGCACTCTTTTTCAAGAAGCTACTGAGTTATGTTTTTCACTAGGAAACAAACTAAGAAGGAGGAAGACTTAGAAATCAGGAAACAAGATCCAAGACTAGAAATGACCAGGAGAGTCCCCAGGATTATGAGAAAGGCAGTCTCCATCAGCTATGCGGGGTAGGAGAGAACATAGTTGCCTCTAGGGCATTTAAAACGGAAGACAGGACCTAAGGATGGTTGTTTTCCAAGCAAACCTTGTAGAACCATTTGATTTTTAATGCTGATGAGCATCTAATCCAGATGGAAGCAAGTCAGATTTTTTTGAAGAGAAGTTTTTAGAGTCCTAATGCATTTGAATATATTTAAAAGGAGATTTCTACAATTGAGGTAGAGTTTAAATTAGTAATAAATACAAAGAAAACTAAATGAAAAGCACTAAGGTAACTAAGACAATACTTCCAAAAAGCAAGACAAAAGTAGATCCCCCCCAAAAGGCGGTCATGTAGGAAAGAAAAAGTAATCACTGTGATTTACAGGTATTAGCTATGAATAGCATTTGCCTCTTCATAATAATGTGAACAATCACTATTAGATATAATGAAAATCATGGTATGAATATATTGAGAGAATGGGCAGAGAGGCAAGTGCTCATGGTGGGAGTAGGAAGTGAGGGAGAAACAGTGCCAATTCCTCACTTTCTAGATTGAGATAACAATATGAAAAACCCACAGGCTGGGTGCGGTAGCTCAAGCCTGTAATCCCAGCACTTTGGGAGGCTGAGGCGGGTGGATCACGAGGTCAAGAGATCGAGACCATCCTGGTGAACATGGTGAAACCCTGTCTCTACTAAAAATACAAAAAATTAGCTGGGCATGGTGGTGCTGCCTGTAATCCCAGCTACTCAGGAGGCTGAGGCCAAAGAATTGCCTGAACCCAGGAGGCGGAGATTGCAGTGATTCGAGATAGCGCCATTGCACTCCAGCCTGGGTAACAAGAGCGAAACTCCGTCTCAAAAAAAAAAAAAAGAAAGGAAAAATCCACAAAGTAACAATTCAAGCATGTTACTTAGCAAAATTGAGGGAAATACGTTAAAAATTGGCTAGGTAGGGTGGGGAGTGAAAGTAGTTGCCTCTAGGGTATGAAAAATGGAAGGAGCTAAAAATGGTTGTTTTCAAAATAAACCTTATGAAACTATTTGATTATTTAAATTATATTATGCATAGCCTAAGCAAAAATAAAATTTACTTAAAAAAATCATGCTCTAGAAGTGTAGTGCTGAGGTACAGATACAATTCCTAATACTTACTAGTTTTATGATGTTGGATAATTAACTTCTTTAAGCATCAGTTTCCTCCTAGGAAAAATGGGAATAATAATGTTACCTATTGTGTAGGGCGATTGAGAAGACTATAAAATAAAGTCTATAAAACTTTAGACCACTCCTGGTCTACATTTTGGCCTTTTGGGACTTCCTTTCTGTTTTACTTCTTGCCGATCTGCTTCATTTTATTCACTGTCTTTCTCCAGGCTATCAAATTACCATCACATTTAAGATCAAATCAGCTTCTCAAATGCTGTACCCAATTCACTTTCCTTAGAATTCTGTGTGCTCTCGACTATGTTCAAAGATTATATCACTATCTTGCTGAGTGTCAAAAGCAGATATGACAGGTTCCTATCTGTATGTAGATGATCAATTCTTCCAGAATATATTTGGAAATATATTTGCTAGAAATTACAAGTAAGCCAATCCTCACTTTGTTTTTTATTGTTTAGATTTTTAAAGTAACATGGAAATTTAGTAATATTTGATCATGAAAAAAGACTTATTTTAAAAACAACTCTTCCATTATAAATTGATAATTTTATTTATTTATTTATTTTTATTTTTTATTTTTAATTTTTTTTAGGAAGGGAGGAAGGGGAGGAAGGCAGGAAGGGAGGAAAGGAGGAAGGGAGGGAGGGAGGAAGGAAGGGAGGGAGGGAGGAAGGAAGGGAGGGAGGGAGGGAGGGAGGAAGAGAAGGGAAGGAAGGAAATCAGGCAATGAGAGAGACATTGCTGACCTGGATCTAGAGGTCTACAAGTTGATTTCTTTTTTTCTTTTTTTGAGATAAGGAAAGAAAAAAAAGGAGTGAAGGAGAGGAAGAAAGACGAAGGAAAAGAGGGAGAGAGAACTGAAATGTTGCTTTATTCTAAAAAAAAATGGGTATTAATAATGGCCAATCAATATTTCATTTAAACCTATGAGTAGGTTCACACCTTGTGGTATTGACAAGAATGTATATTTTGTGTATTTAAAGTGGAGAGCTCTATAAATATTTATTAAGTTTACTTGTTCCGGATCTGAGTTCGAGTCCTTGATATCCTTATTAATTTTCTGTCTCATTGAGTCTAAGTCTCTATGTATCTGGGTGTTAGGATCGTTAGCTCTTGTTGTTGCATTGATCCTTTTACCACTATATCTTTGTTGCTTTAAAATCTATTTTATCAGATATGAGAATTGCAACTCCTGCTTTTTATTTATTGATTTATTTTTGCTCTCCATTTGGTTGGTAAATCTTTCTCCATCCCTTTGTTTTGAGTCTTTGTGTATCCTTGCATGTGAAATGGGTCTGGATGTAGCATACCGTTGGGTTTTGGCTGTGTCTTTTGATTGGGGAATTTAGTCTATTGAAATTTAGGATTACTGCCATTTGATGTTAACTGGCTGTTTTGTCCATTCGTCGATGTAAATTCTTCATGTTGATGCTCTTTATTTTCGATATATTTTTAGAAAGGCTAACACTGGTTGCTTCTTTCTATGTGTAATGCTTCTTTCAGAAGCCCTTGTAAAGCAGGCCTGGTGGTAATAAAATCTCTGAGTACTTGCTTGTTCATAAAAGATTTTATTTTTCCTTCAGTTGTGAAGCTTAATTTGGCTGAATATGAAATTCTGGGCTGAAAGTTCTGTTCTTTAAGGATGTTGAATATTGGCCCCCACTCTCTTCTGGCTTGTAGAGTTTCTGCTGAGAGATCTGCTGTAAGTCTGATAGGCTTCCCTTTGTGGGTAACCTGACCTTTCTCTCTGGCTGCCCTTAGTATTTTCTCCTTTGTTTCAACCCTGGTGAATCTAATGATTATGTGTCTTGGGGTTGCTTTTCTTGAGGAATATCTTTGTGGTGTTCTCTATATTACCTGGGATTGAATATTGTCCTGCTTTGCTAGTTTAGGAAAATTTTCCTGAATAATATCCTGAAGAATATTTTCCAGCTTGGATTCATTCTCTCCGTCGCATTCAGGTACACGTATCAAACGTAAATTTGGTCTTTTCACATAGTCCCACATTTCTTGGAGACTTTTCTCATTCCTTTTTATCCTTTTTTTCTCTAATCTTGTCTTCTCATTTTATTTCATTAAGTTGGATTTTGACCTCTGATATCCTTTCTTCTGCTCGAACAATTTGAGTGTTTAAACCTGTGCATACTTCTCGGAGTTCCCGTATTGTATTCTTCAGTTCCATTAATTCACTTATATTCCTCTCTAAGTTGTCTATTCTCATTAGGATTTCGTCAAACCTTTTTTCAAAGTTCTTAGTTTCTTTACATCGGGCTACAACATGTTCTTTTAACTCCCAGAAGTTTCTTATTATCCATCTTCTGAAGCCTGATTCTGTTAATGGGATGTGCTCCTTCTCCATCAAGCCTTGTTCCCTTGTTGATGAGGAACTGTGATCCTCTTTAGAGGGAGAGGCATTCTGATTTTAAGTATTATCAGACTTTTTACGCTGGTTTCTTCCCATCATTGTAAATTTATCCACCTGTCGTCTTTGTAATTACCAACTTTCAAATTAGGTCTCTGATGGACGTCCAAGTTGTTAATTCCCAGGGCCGAAATAGGAGCAACCCACTGCGCTGGCCAAAACAGCAGCGTTAAGACTGATGGTGAGGCCAGGGGCGGTGGCTCATGCCTGTAATCCCAGCACTTTGGGAGGCTGAGGCGGGTGGATCACGAGGTCAAGAGATCGAGACCATCCTGGTCAACATGGTGAAACCCCGTCTCTACTAAAAATACAAAAACTTAGCTGGGCATGGTGGCATGTGCCTGTAATCCCAGCTACTCAGGAGGCTGAGGCAGGAGAATTGCCTGAACCCAGGAGGCGGAGATTGCGGTGAGCTGAGATCGCGCCATTGCACTCCAGCCTGGGTAACAAGAGCGAAACTCCAACTCAAAAAAAAAAAAAAAAAAAGACTGATGGTGCTTTTCTGCCCAGGAATCTCCAGTCTGGCTTCCTTTTTGAGTCCGTAATAGGCGACTCTGCCTTCCTGGAGCTCCAAACGTCGGTCAGAAGGGGAACCAGTCCCGTTTACTCTGCACCAAGAGCTGTCGTGCTGAGGTGCCAGCAAAACCGCTGCGCCGGCCACAAGAGTTGCGCTGGCAACCCGTGCGGTTCCTCCACTGGGAATCTTCTGCTCCGTGAGCGACCAAAATTTGTCTGAAAGTGTGGCGTCCTCTCGTTCTCTGCGCTTTCACTGGGAGCTGCAATCCTGAGCTGTTAGCGATCAGCCATCTTGGATCGTTCACATTCAATAATTTTATTATTAATTTCCAAAGGTAGCTTTCTCATCTATTATGTGAATTCTAGTTTCTAAGAGAGTCAATGTATTTCCAAGATTTTGGTGGCACCTCACTGCTCCTCCCCCAAGCAACATGCACAGCCAGCCTTCCTGGGGCATAAGTTACTCCTGTTTGCCAATATAGAAATTGAGACCCTCTGGCTTATCTGAAAATCACAACCAGAAAGTGTCAGGGTAAGGACTCAAGTTCAGGCTTTCTCATTGTAAGCATAGTGTTCTTTCTACCATGTAAGCTAAGTGCCCATAAGTGAGTGACAATCTCTCTGGTCTCAAATTTGTGATTTGAAGGTACGGAGCAGATGGTCTTCAAACTCCTATCAGTCCTAACATCCCGTAAATTACTGAGATAGAGGACAAGTTTGAACCTGTATTACTATCAATATTTATTCCTTCCATATAGACACTATGGATTCTCAGTGCCAAAAAGTCAATGTGATTATGAAGTCCAGTTTACTTGCATGCAATTTTTATTTCCTGTTTTATTTGTAAATGCCAAGGTTCAAAATGGCTTTGGGTTTTATTTTCACTTTTGCAATCACTTGGGAATCTTATCAAGGCTGAGCAAGAGATTTGGAAACTCATAATGCATTTCCCAAGAAGCTGTGAAGATTGTGAAATTTACGGGGCTCTAACCTTTCTGAGAGAACACGAGCTGACAGGACAAGACAGCTCATTTCCAGTTATGTTGCTGGGTAGTTCTCTGGAAATAATGGTGAGGCCATAGTAATCACAGCCCAATTGTGTGCTTCTGGTTAGAGCCTATATTCAATGGTTATAGTGGGATACCACACAGATTTTATTTTTTTCTCTCTCAGTCCTGGACATTCATTCAGCAAGCTGTACTCAGCCATCTAGGAGAGGCCACAAATGATACAGCCCAGCCTAGTGCCCCGTGGAAGCACAGAAGCTACAAAAACCAAATTGCTTCCAATGATAAAGTTTCAAACTAGACACAGATCAAAGAGATAGAGTGAGATTGCCTTTTGCCTACTTCTTGACTAAAGTGTGTGTGATTAACTGTGCTACCCACTTCTTCAGGCATTCCATGCCACTTACCAACCACTTGCAGCAACTGGGCAGAGTTGGTCTTCAGTCTGAGTGGTTTTAGGTCTTGATAAGTAATAGCTCATATTTAATGATTAAAGACCTGGGTTCAAAATCTCCAAAAAATAATTTTGAAAAGCAAACCTCTATGAAACTGGTCTTAGAACTGATTATATTTAAAAATGTGAAATCTCAAACACCCTTCATAAGTACCTAAAAGCAACTTCTGAAGGCTATCTAATGCATTGATTAGAAGTTTCTGATCCTTATGCATGACACTATTTTAATGAACCATTAATTAAATTTGATTATTATCAGTACTTTGGAGAATCAGACAAAAACATCCAGTCCTTTGTTTTCCCATATGTTCATAACAGAGATTTAAAACTGGAAGATGGGTAATAATGGTGATTATATTTCAGATACTACTCTGAGGCTAAGTTTTTACTGGTTATCAACCTTGCCTTTAAGTGCCCTCTTTTTAGTGGTACTCCATCCCCACCTTCTAACATATCTACAGAGCTCTTTCTGTCCTCTCCTCATGAGGATATTATCCTGGAAAGAATATGATAAAATTTGTCAAAACCATGTGTAAAGACTTGTTGTTTACTGTGTTGTTCTCTCTTGCAGAGATATTTTCATTTAGTCACTCTTAGGACAAATGAGAGTCCGACATCAAGGTTTACTTTGGGAAGTAAAGGGATGAGCTTTCTGTATACCCTCGTAATACATCTGCAAATGACTGAAATTTAGAATCATGAAAAAGATTTCTAGATTAAATCTGCAAATGACTCAATTCTAGAATTGTGAAAAAGAATTCATGAAAAAACTGCTTGTAAAGCTGTTAGCAGAGTATTTGGCACATAGTGAATGCTTGATAAATGTTAGGATTTTAATTATAATGTTATCACTGTGGTTTCCATTACCTAGCTCCTGAGGGCACTGACTGAATGCAGCACTCATTGATAAGTCCCAGGTGATGGTATAATCCACATTCAGATCTTGCTCAGAGCACACTGGTTTCTGCTCTGGACTGATAACTAGAAAATAATGCATTTAGCTTTCCTGATCCTTGCTAATGGGAACCAGCTGAAATACCCTGAGTATGACAATTTTAAGAACTCTGACAGAAAATTTTTTCAAAACTTTGGATGTATACAAGGTTCCCTGTAGAGGACCACAAACCTAGAGACTTTGCTGAGATGTCAAGTTGAAATTGAAAGGATTCCAAGGCCAGTGAGTAAGTTGCCATGCTACCAAGCAAGGCCAGGCAACTCCAGGCATGTCTCATCCTCCTGGTATTGTTATCAACTTGTTTCACATTCAGTCAATAGTATTATTATGTTACGTGTCCTCCAATTGCTAGTTCTGGTAATCCGAGTAAAGCTCTAAGAAAGTGATTGTTAGTGAGACAACAAAGTTTTAGTGTAACTTAGTGTGTGAAATATATAATTTGAAGTTGGTTTTGGTCTATGACTTCAATGAGTCTTTTATATCAAACAAAGACAGTCAAAGTTATTTTGTGAGTATTCTCACCCAGTGCAAAACTTGTCCTTGGAGTAAAAATAAAATTTTGGTGAAAGACAAAAAGGCAATAGTTTGTCCTACAGATAACCTCCTGGAAACAGAGGAAGATATCTGTGACATATCTCTCAGATTATACATTGCAGCATTTTTTAGAGTGTGTAATAGCAAAAAATTGGAAATAACTCAAATACTCATTAATGGAGGATTAATGAATTTTTGATTAAATTACAGTAAATCCATCAGTGGAATAATATGAAGACATAAGACAGAATGAGCAAGCTCTCTCAGTATCACAATGAAAAGATCAATAAGATATAAAGAAAAAAAGCAAAGTGAAGAAGAGCATTGTAAAAAGAGGTGGAAGAGGCCGGGTGCAGCGGCTCACATCTGTAATCCCAGCACTTTGAGAGGCCAAGGCAGGTGAATCGCCAGAGATCAGGAGCTCGAAACCAGTATGACCAACATGGAGAAACCCCGTCTCTACTAAAAATACAAAATTAGCCGGGCATGGTGGTGCATACCTGGAATCCCAGCTACTCCGGAGGCTGAGGCAGGAGAATTGCTTGAACCCAGGAGGCAGAGGTTGCAGTGAGCCAAGATGGCACCACTGAACTCCGGCTTAGGCAACAAGAGCAAAGCTCCAAAAAAAAAAAAGACGTGGAGGAAAGAATATATACTTATATACACATTTGCACAGATTGTCTCTGGAATAATGCACAAGAAAATGGTAACTTTGGTGGTTGGTAGGGAGGAATGGAAATTACTAGGGACACATGTAGTAGAGATAAATCTCACTATATGTATTTGAGTTTTTTGAATTTTTAATCTTATGAATGCATTTTCTTCTCTAAAAAAATGAGTTTGTTTTTTTTTTAAACAAAAGGCAGTAATCTGTAGGGTTTGAATTTATGCATATAGGAAACAACATGTCTATCAATAGACTGGAAAGAAAACCAAGAAATCACATAAAACTTTTCTGTTTTTTATGAATCTTGGAAATTTTAAAAGTTTCTGGAAATACCCTTTAGACATGTCAAACAATTATTGTGTCATGAACATTTCTGGCTATTCATTATTAGTTACATTTGTGAGTATCCTATTGGAGAATAATAAGGATGAGCTGATTGCTTAATTATGATTATTTTTCCCATAGTATATCTCAATAGATCCCTCATAAGAAAATCATTGTAGTGAATATGGTGATTGACCTGTCAACATCCATTCAAACTCACCCTTAAGGTTAGCTGTCATATAGGCGGGCTGCCAGTGGTTGGCTTAGATTAACTAAATCAATCACAGCAATTCCATTTTCCTTGCCAATGTTTTCTTGGTTCAGAGATGGGTAACCTAAATCAACCCAGGAAGGACATTAAGTAAATTAAGATAATCCTTTAGTTAATAATATATACAACAAAGCCACAGCTCATATGAAGAAAATAATAATAATAATAATATATCGGTTGATTAGTTATAACAAATGTTTCATACTAATGTAGGATACCAGTAGGAGGGGCAACTGAACGAGAAGTATATTGAAAACTGTATTCTCTTTGCATTTTTTTTCTGTAAATTTAAAGCTGTCCTAAATAAAAATTTATATAAAAGGAGACTAAAACTGGAAGTGTTCATTGTCACTTCTGGTGACAATTTCTCTATATTTTCAAATTAAGAAGAAATTTTTTACTTTTTAAAGATTATCCAATTTTAAAATTAGTTCCCTCTTTATAATTAAACTGTTTCCAGCTTTGTTCTTTGTTCTAAATTTTTTGCTAGTCACCAAAAATTGCTTCTTCCATGTTACTTTGAAAATTAGATTATTGGGCCAATCTGATCAACTTAAACTATCTTCCATTTCAAAATTTTTTTGTGAATGATTCAAAATTCTGGTGCAGTCTTATATTTTTCATCCTATCATGGTATAAAAATGTAATAAACAAGTGTGAATACAATTGATGAAAAGTATACAAACCTTTTTCTTAAATTATGTTTATTCTTTGAACTAATTTAATGCATGAAAGATACTGATAAAATGATGTAGATTAAGAGGCTGGCTAACTTTCTTAATTTGAATATTTTTCATTTATCTGTCTTTTTGAGTCATTAAGAATACAAATCTTTGATTTTGGCAAAGTTCAGAAACTGTTTTACCAGTTCTTTTGGATATGATCAGATCTACTTATGAGTTTCATACCAATTATAAATTCATAGTGTGGTGATTTTAAATCCAGCATATTAAACTATTAATTTACAATTTGGCCATATTTTGACAGCAACTATTATCTGTTTTTCTTCATGGTTGTTCCCAGTTGTTACAGTACTTAGAAAATGGTATTTGTGATGAGATTCCTTGACAGATAATAGGTCAAGGTGAGGGGAATTTACTCACTTTAGTAAATGGGGAAGGGTCAGCAGATCCCCTTGCACTTATACAAGGTAGGCTTTCCAGTGTGTGCTAGACATTGAGTCTCTCTTCCTGGGACAACACTAGATATTGATTGACAAAACTTCTCTCCTAGAGGTCAGATTAGCATGCTTTTTCTGCAAATAGTAAATATTTTGAATTCTGTGGATCATGTGGTTTCTGTCACAACTACTCAACTCTGCCCTTGTAGACTGGAAGCAGCGTCAGATTATTTGGTGAGCAAGTTTGGAGCTATAATTTGCTGATCTCTGTTTCTTTTTTAAAAAAAATCTCCAAGCAGATCACTCCATTTAAGGGATGAATTCCAAGATAGCTTACATTTAGTCAGAGCTATTTGACTAAATGTAACTTGTGTTGTGATCACATGGTCTTTTATATCAGGTGGTAGAGGTACAGACTTTGGAGCCACAGAAACATGGTTGGAATTTCAGCTCTGCTCAGCAATAGTTGTGCAGCCTAAAGCCTCCTTCTCCAAGCTTCCTTTTCTCTGTGGAATGTGGATGATGACTCCTATGAGAGAAGGGTACTGTGATGATTAAGTGAGAGTGTATGTTAAGAGCCTGGCACAAAGAAACTATTCAAAAAATATTGATTTCCTTCTCTAACTCTGCAACAACAGTCTCTTCTTTACACACGTGAGAATTGGGCAACACCTCAGCCTCATCAACACACATTTGCAAACCCACTCTCAGATGGCTGACCTAGGAAATTCAAAATTAATTCAAATGAGCTTTAATGTCAAACAATGCTATTTTTAAAACTCTCTTCTCAGTTTCTGGGAATCCATTTCGTGTAGTTCAGTTCTTGCAGCCTCTTGCATGTCGAAAACAATAGCCACCACAAGCACAACATGTGATAAAACCATTTAACCAAAGGCCTTGATTCTGATAACTCTCGGGGAGATAAAGGACACCTATATACTATCAGATTTTAAAGGGTCACTACTCAAAGGAAATTACATGGAAATAGTAAGAAATGTAGATTTTATTTGATGTTTGTTATGACCATGTCTAAGCTTTTAGAATTGGTTTTATTATAAAATTGCTTGGGGAATTCACTTTCAGTGCCATAGCAATGGGTTGCAAAATCACTACTACTTGAAATTATTCTCCTTTGAAAAGTTCAACTTAAAAATATATATACACATATGAGGCACTAGAGGCAGGAAGTACTTTCACAGCAGGAGAATAATTTTGTGTGTTTACTTACTTGTATAAACACACTTAGACAGTATAGAGTTAGGTATATTTAGCATCAGACTTTTTAAATTGAGGGACGTTTAAGTCCTGCCATAATTTTTAAGAAAATAATTTGCTTCCTTACTAGGGAAACTATTATAATTAATGCTAACACAGCTATTTAAAATGTGTAAAGTAATAGTATCTTCAAAGAACTAGGGTAATACAAAAGCAATAATTTGGAGAAATAAAAAGTACCCCAATAGATGACAGATTTTATTGTTTCAAGCATCAGAATTGAAAATTGGGTGTCTTGGTCACAAAGCCTTGCCCTTGGTTCCTCATGTCATAACTCTTCAATATGTGATTCGCTGCATTTGTTTCTTGGTTAGTTCACCCATTCATTTCCTAGATATACATTTGGTAAACAATTACCACTTGTGAAACGCTATGCTAAGTGCTAGGAACATAATTTATTCAGAGACAGACACATAAATTGTTGATTACAATACGTTTTATATGTGTTACTATAGAAATATGTACCAAGAGCTGAGAGAGTAATGCAGAAATATTCATTCTAAAGAGGCTAGACAAGGGTGTATGGGGAAGAAATGGTCAGAGAGGCTTCATAGAGAATGCAAATGACTCGAGCTGGGTAAAGAAGCTCTTCAGGGATTTTTGAGGATGACAAGACCAAGAATTCTAAGCAGGGTAAACTACGTGATCAAAATCAAAGAAGTATAAAAGTATACTTTAAATGTACTTGTGAGTAGTTTGATGTAGTTGGAGCAGGGGCTTTATGGTGGGGGTGGGGGAGGTTTTATGCCATGCTATAAATCTTGGTCCTTTCTCCAGTTGGCCAGTGATCCCTGGCTACCATTCTAGTTTTTCTTTACATTTCATCTATGTTTTCGATGGCTAAAACCTCAGATGTATAAGTGAAGTGTTTTTAGGTTTCAAGGAGCACAAATATGCCTCTGACTTTTGGTGATTTCAATTTATTATAAGAATATGGGTAAATTAGGAAGCAAGTGTAGGAAATATTTTAATGGAATAATCAGGTCTCGTGAAACTGGAGCATTGTTCATTGGTCTCCAGAATCATATATTAATAGGAACTCTGATATCCCAAGAGCAATAATAGGGGTTGTCATCCCACGGACTTCTCTCTTTGCTTCTTTCTCCTTCTTTACCATGGTACTCTCTCTGCCTCAGTTTATCTGGTTCATGGTTTCTATTTATTCATTGCTTCTACCAACTTATGAGCCTGCTTAGTGTCTGCTTAGTTTTCTGGTTCCTACTCCACTTTGCTTTCTGCACCTCTCCCTGTGTACTTTTGTTCAGAAAAGAATTAACAGTAGGTCCAAGACTGCTATTCCCAGAAATCTCCTGTTGGGTATCCGGAAACTTGGGTTTCAGCAGAGTTCTGGCCATTCCTTAAAAACTGATAAGAGTGGCCCACTGTGTCTAAATTGTTAGTACCAACAGCATAGTTTATGCTAACCACCTGCTTTCCTTCTGGCAGTCAGGGCTTCTGGTATATGGCAGGAAAAGGGTGCCTATGTGACAAGCCTGCAAGAAAAACTGTGAGCTTCCCTGGTGGGCAGTATTTCATACCTGTTGTCACAACCTGTTGTAGAGGAATAAAGTGCCTCTTGTGTGACTCCACTAGGAGAGGACTCTAGGAAGCTTGCAGCTGGTTTCCTCCAGACTTTGCCTTATATGCCTTTCCCTTTGCTTAATTTGCTCTGTATCCTGTCACTGTCATGGCCATAAGTATAGGACTATATGTTGAGTCCTGTGAGTCCTCCTAGCAAATCACTGAAGCTGGTAGGTGGTCTTTAGGAGCCCTACGCAGCTTTGCTTTTGGATGGGAACCAGCAAGTGTGACCACAACCCACTGATGATATCACCTAAGGGAATGGTGGGTGGAAAATGGAAGGAATTTGAGTCCTTGAGTGACTTCATGGTCTCCCTGCAAATCTGTATTGCTCTTCTTGGGACTATAACATAAAGAAAAAATGAACATCCATCTTATTTAAGCCTTTGCATATAGATGTACACTTCTTGGTGTTTCCTTTTTTGAATAGCTAAGGCTTTACCCTAATAAGCAATAACTCAGCTTTCTCTTATTTTTGCAGTGGTATTTGCCTACCAACTTCCCCTTAAAAGGTTCCATGCTACTCCTATTTATCCCACCCACATGGGATAGTTGAGCTGTAAGAGCACCGGAGAAGGACATTTCCATTTCCACTTAGGTGTGGGATTCCCCTAAATGGAGAAGGCCAGTTACCTTCTTACTACTGGTCTTGCAGTTTCTTTCACAGTTCTCCACTTGTTTCTTTTGCCTACTTGGGCTGCAGTTAAAGAAACCCTCCCTTGGTGGTTTGGCTGCTCAACCAATGGGCACAGCTCACCTTCAGGACTTTCCACCTTGCCTAACTCAGGACTTTCCACCTTGCCTAGCTCACTTCCTTTTTCTGCCTTCTGAGCATTGCCTCTTTTACTTTTCAGATGCTAGATGATACACATTCCCTTTTAAATCATACAGATACTTTCAAACAATAGTTATTGAACATGTATTTTGTAAGGTAAAACCTAAAATGAGAAACAGGGCAAGTACTTGACTGTTTGGTCTCCTTGGAATACGCAAATAAAGAGGAAATTATAAATTAAAGTGAAAATTCCTGTAAATGGAATATATACCATGTATTACGGAAATACGTCGGAGAGGTGCCTGACTCAGTG